TCAGTGGTTGGGCACTTGCCTAGCATGTGCAGGGTCCTGGGTTCCAGCAACAAGGAAGGAGGGAAGGGAACAGAAAAGATAAAGATCAGAAGAATTAGCAGAAACAAAGGCTGTGAAATGACTGTAGCCACAGCTTAACCTGCTCATCTCTTCTCAGGTTAAGCTAGGTCATTATACTGTCCCCATTAGGCAAGCATGTTTTAAAGGCAGTCGCTACCTACATTTGGCTATTTGGGGTATACGATCTGGTCACCCTTGCTGATATATTTAAACTTCTTGACCTGTGGGACTTTTTGTTATTTTTGCTATCTTGGTTTTTCATGGTTTTCAGGGATGGGCTCACTTTCATCCTTTCTGTGTTGATGCCTTCTTCCTAGTCCCGTGTGCCGGTTACAGTAGATGTCCTATGAAAAAGGTGTAGGGCAGGATCCATCCATTTTCAGACTGGCCTAAAAAGGGCTTTCTTATGGAATATATTTATTTCTTTTTACTTAAGTTGTTTTGGTGTGATGTCTGGAATACAGTATCTGCTTAAGCATCATGCCCTCCTCCCAAACAGGAGAAAGTGGGATTTTTCTTCAGTTGCCAAGGTGAGTTATTTGAATTTAATGTAGTGTCTGATCCACTTAGACACTTTCCCTTTTAACATGGATGAACTTGATAAGTTAGTTTGATGATCCCTCAAGAGTGAAGTGTCTTGGATTCTCATCCCAACTTAGCTCACAAGAGACTGGGTGATTTTCAAATGGCTCTTGATGAACTCCTTCAAATAAATCTGTATAATTGCCATGAGTGGATGACTCAGAATTGAGATGACTTTCATTTGTCAGCTTTGGGTATAGAATTTGGGCCAGGGTAAGGGGTGACTGCTTTACCCTTTTTGTACCTAGTGTTCAAGAGAAGTTTATTAAATGAATCAGTCAATATTCAGAAAGAGCTCATTGGCCTTCTTGCTTTTTATATTAACTTCACTTGAATGTTTATGCAGAAAGAGACAGGGGACATAGGTGTTATGGCTTTTGTTTAGATGTCCCCCCAGCACCAAAGCCTCATGCAGTTATGAGTGGTGCTTTTTCAGAGGTGTATGAATCTGGAGTGTGTGCTTCATTCCTGATATAGTGCTAGGATTAAGGATGCGTGATTATTAAATCAGTCCACTGATTGGTTTAGCAGTGCCCTAATCCTGGTAGCCTAAATAGAATATAAAAGGGACAGAAAAAAGATGCTAAGGTCCCTTGCTTACTTTGCTACCTTCTGCCTACATTGAACTGTTTCTCCTCTGTGATGCTTGTCTGCCATTGCCACCTAGCCAGTCCATTGTGAACTAAAACCTCTGCAAACTGTGCGCTAAGTAAGCCTTTCCTCTCTTAACTTGTGGGTGTTGGGTATTTTGTCTCAGCAATGAGAAAAGTAACTAATATAAAATTTGGTACCTGAGAAGTGAGATCATTTCTATAGCTATACCTGACCACGTGGTTCAGGAGCCTTTTTTTGTGGAAAGAGTTTGGAGGTTCTGAGATGCCAGCTAAAAAAGTAGAGCTGGAATGCCTTAGGCTGTACTTGATGGGAGATTCTGGTTAGAGCTCAGATCAGAAGGCTGACAGAAATCCTGCTGGTAAAGACCAGACTTGGGAAGTTTCTGCTGGGAGGAAGGACTGCATTGACTACTGGACTCCAGACAGTGTGTGTTATACCTTGACAGAGAGTTTGTCTGCATTTTGCTGTGTCCAGAGACTTTGCCTGAGACTAAGATATATGGTGGTGGACTAATTAATCTTGCAGAATAAATTTCAAGAAATCTAATATTGAGGCAGTGGTGTGACTACTCTTGGGGGCTTTTAGCCAGACTTATGAGAATCAAGAGCAAAGAACCCAGCAGAATGACCCAAAACTTAGAGTTTGGCTAGAAAGGAAGCCCCAGTAGGGTTGCAGGCTATAAGGATAGAACAGAGAAGAAATTGATCACTGAAAAGACTAGCAAGAAAAAGACAAGTATTTCAGAAGACAACAGAAAATACCGGAGGACATCAGAAGAACCAAGGACTCCAGCATTTGCAGCCTCAGAATTGCAAAGGTGTCAGGCTTGCTTTGAGAAGAGAGCCCTAGTGCACCATGTTTCAGAATGGTGGCAGCCTAGGAAAGTTGTTCCTCTGGATTTACTTCATAGGCAAACAACCCCCATAGCCAAGAGACAAGGAAGCCTGGCTACTGCTCCAGCTGGCAGGAGACCTTGGCATCATCCATGTGGCGCTGGCTTTAGGGGCATGCAGAATACAAGAGTTGTAGTGTCAGGAAGGCCTCCATCCAGATTTCAGAAGAAGGCCTGGGAGGCCAGGCAGTGTACCTCTGAGAGGGCAGTGTATGAAGCTGTGAGTGTGAAGCCAAAGGTGCAGTGGAGACCCCAGAAGTTTGACTAAGCCAGGAGTAGGGATCATCTGAGGCAAACTGCAAAGTGGGAGCAGAGCTGGCCCAAGGGAAAAGCCATGAGAGCTACAGCCACTTGTAGTGCCATAGAGACAGAGCCACCCAAGCCTTTTGGAGTTTATATTTTGTAACAGATTGCCTCAGATGCTGGACCTGAAACTGTAAGACTTAATGTTTGCCCTGCTGGATTTTGAACTTGCTTTGTTCCTATTCCTTCTCCCTCTGTGTACCTTTTGGAATGGAAATGTCTACCTTTTGCCATTCAGCTAAGAATTGGCCTTAAGAGCTGGGGATTTAGTTCAGTGGTTCTGGTGCCTGCCTTGCAAATGCAGGGTCCCGAGTTCAATCCCCAGTACAAAAAAAAAAAAAAGAATTTGCCTAAAATTTTAGAGGAGACTTTGGACTTGGACTTTTCAGCAATGCTGAAACCATTAGGATTTTGGCAACTCTTGGAGATGGGCTAAATGCCTTTTACATAAAGGGATGTACATGAGTCTTTGAGGGGCCAAGGGCAGAACATTATGGCTTGTATTTGGATGCCCCCCCCATCAAAGCATCATGTGGTTGTAGGTGGGGCTTTTTCAGAGGTGGCTGAATCTAGGATTAAGGTTGAGTGAGTACTAAATCAGTCCACTGATTGGTTTGGCAGTGACCTAATCCTGGTTACCTAGATAAAATATAAAAGGGGCAGAAAAAAAGCTGCTAAGTAATGTCCCTTGCTTGCTTTTGCTGTCTTCTGCCTGCAATGAGCTGTTTCTCCTCTGCAAAGCCCCTCTGCCATATGACACCCTGCCTAGGAGCCAACCAACTATGAACTGAAAACTCTGCAAACCAAACCAAATAAACCTTTCTTCCTTTAATTTTGAGTGTTGAGTATTTTGTTTCAGCAATGGAAAAAAGTAAGACACTAGGCATTCTAGACCCTTGAGTTTGAACTTAGCTACCAGTTTGAAGAATGAAAGGTGACCATTGGCTTAAGTCTAGGTTTCAGGAATATGGGTTTGTACCTGATGTTTGCTTTATATATTGTTAATTCACTTGTCAGATGTACTGGATCCCTACTGTTTACTGGATACTGTAGGGCCTGGTGGATGGTAGGTGAAGCAGATGGCTCTGGCCTTCTGTAGTTTAATGGTTTGATAGGGAAGTTATCAGTAATTTGCATAATTCATCAGACCTTCTTCATCCTCTGGTCTACTTAAAATGTTGCTCATCAAGAAATTCAGGGCCGGGAATGGGCCAGGGATGGGCCAGGGATTTAGCTCAGTGGTTTGGTGGCCTGCCTTCCAAGTGCAAGGACCCGAGTTCAATCCCTGGTACGAAAAAAAAAAAAGAAAGAAATTTATAAGTTGAAGAGATGTCCTTTGGAGTAGTCCATTCGGTGACTTTCAGATAGGAAAGAAGAGGCACACAGCATGATGGAGTCAGAGCTAACACAAATGCCCCTAAGCTTTGAGCTTCAGTTAGTGCTTTTGGTTCTATTACACAGGAAAGGTTTCATGCAAGGGCCCAGCCAGGGACCTCCTTATCCTTGTAGAAACCTACAGGAAAAAATAAGCCCCAAAGATCCTGGAAGCCATGGACTTCACATGACCCAGTTGTTTTCTGTACAGATGTACCAAGAGTAACTTTTTTTGGAAGCTAGGGAAAGAAAAAGAAATCTCCATTTTTGCCATCATTGAGAGTTCTACTCTAGGAGAATAGAAAATCTACTATGTCTGGGGAGAACAGAGCAGCCCAGTGCACACCCCGTGTGAGAGAGCGAGCTGTGGCACAGGCAGGTGAGTAGCAACCTGGATGAAGAAGAAGAATCTTCCCAGGATCTTTTCCCGGCTTGAGGGGACTCCTGAGCAAATGTTCCATGTAGTCAGTGGCCTGCACAACAGAAGTTGGGAAATTCTGAGAAACATTTTTGGGCCGCAGCTGATTGAGAAGGTCTTGAGTTCTTCTGAGTGGGCATGGGGATAGTGCAATGTATACTTCACCTTCTCAGAGGAGTGGCTGGGTAAAGCCAGGATTGTGGAAGGCAAACCTGTCTCTGTGTTTGAGGAACTAGGGAGACTTTCAAAAGGCTTCATCAGGGTCTTGCTTCAGCTACTCAGCTATATAATGAAATCCTGGCCACAGGTGGTGGCAGTAGGGTATTTTGAACTTTGTATAGTGCTTGATTGTGAAAATGACAAATCTGACTTAATTTCTAAATTTAACTTAGAATCTATAGCCTTATAGTGATTTTTCTAGCCATGTCTGAATTGAGCCTCTATATTTTATTTTATAAAACACTTTGAAACTGTTGATAGCCAATTAAGAGAGAGTATGTACTAAATGTTACTGCTTTTTACTTCCAATTCTCAAGTGCCAAGTTGAATATCATTTAGTACACTGTTGCTTGGATCGTGTTCTGTCCTTGGTAAAGTTTGTCCCTTGAGAATTAAACTCTAGCATGGTCATGTATCTGAGTCGGGAGAGGTGGTCTGGTGGGGTGAAGGAAGAGCAAGAAGGCAAGAGCAGAGTGGTGGATTCACCCATCAGCACCCACAGAGGCTGACTGCATTCTTCTTTCCTTGTCTCCCTAGGAATATAAACAGAAGCTTGCACGAGTAACCCAGGTCCGCAAGGAACTGAAGTCCCATATTCAGAGCTTACCAGACCTCTCACTGCTGCCCAACGTCACAGGGGGATTGGCCCCTCTGCCCTCTGCTGGTGACCTCTTTTCAACTGATTAGAATGGGTATCATGCCCCAGTTTCCCATCTGTGCCAGAATGAAGAGGGCAAGTCATGGTTGCAGATGACCCTCTGGGCCTGGTTTTCTCTCTTCTACATGGCCTGTCCACCTCCAGAAAGAACTACTCAGACTCTGATATCCGATTCTCCTCTCCAGCCTTTCATCTCGAGCACAGTTCAGAACAGTGGCCAATGGAATCCAGTTTAGATTCATACTTGCAAAAACACAGACGTTTTCCTACTTCATGCCCCTGTTGGTTTTCCATTCTTAGCTTTCTATTATACCCAAGAAGTTATGAAAATCATGGTACTTCTGGAAGCTTTCAAGAGAATCTTGTCCCTGTGACAGCATGTATCATGGAAATAGCACCTCCTTTCTGAGCTGGACTTGTCTGAGTTAGGCTCCCACTGAGGGGATTGCTCTGCAGACATAGGCTTTCAAGTCTACCACCTGCGCAAAAGTTTGGTGGCACAGCCTTTGGACAGCTTTGCCATAAAAAGTTTGCCAAATTGCTGGCCCTTCCATATCTTACTTCTAGCAATGTATAGTCAAGGTTAAGTGTGGTTATTTTGAGCAAACTAAAGAATCCAGCAGAGAGATTCAAAGCTGACCTGGGACGTAAAGTCACAGTTCAGAGGTAAGAGTAACTGTGATGACAAGCAGATATAACTTGCTTGGTTCCTATACACAGCCTTCCTCAGACTACATTTCTTAAGGGCCCTATCCATTATCATAGAGCAAGTTTCTAAAAACAGGACCCTTTGGCCCCTAGTAGTAGTTAGGGACAGCGCTGGTATCTCCAAAAGATGAAGGCTTCACACAGAGGTGTGCTGAGTCTGGGCCCTGCATGGCTGTGGCTGTGACCCGTCCTTTAGGGAGTAGAACACACTATCAGTCACTGTGACTGAGCTTGGATATCTCCTGCAGATAGGACACTAAACAAGTCCATCCGTCAGTAAGTTCATGCCGTTGCATATGTTCCTACTTGAGGAAGAGTATTTACATCAGATGTTATTGAAACAGCTCATATCTGGCAGGGGACAAGGAAGGTGGGGGATATTAATTTGGGGTTTTAATTCCATTATCATGCCATCTGACATTATGACTAAATAATGTAGTTAGATTTTATCTTGCGTATAATAAAGGGTAAGCCTGCTAACTATAAATCATTCTAATTTGGCAGGCTAATTTCTGACATTGGGAAGGGCACAAAACAATTTGTCCCAATAGTGTAATAGGAATTATATCCCCAAGGCTGAAATCTGGAAGCTATAAAAAGGAATTCATTGGAAGGGGCTTGAAAATCTATTGTTTTGAGTTGCTCTTTTCAGGATCACCAAAAATTACGTGTTATTTTACATGTTAAAACATAACTTGTGTTTTATGAAGTATGACAGGCCTCTCTTCCAGAAGCTCTTGCCTGCTGTGATGTGAGAACATGGGAGAGTTGTAACAGGTACTTGGTTGAACTCTGTAGAACCTAGTAGTGTGGAAGCTGCTTTTTGGATTTGCATCTGTGTGCTCTTTGCTTATTGACACTGCCTGTTCTGTCACTGTTAAATTAATGACCCTATAAAGTTTTCCTCCCAAAGGCAGTAGGTGACTTCACTGAAATTGCAAGATAAATTTTAGTCTTTGCTGTTTGTGCACGGCCCCCCCCATATGATGTGCTGCTTTAATCTCCCATACATGACCTTATTTCCGAACAGACCCAACTGGGACACTTCTTTCACCAAGGAGGCAAAATTTTACCAGCCAAAAGACTAATCAATAATTGCTCAGTTCAGCTAGGTGAAACTATTACAACAGAATGGATTTAAGTACACTGCTATCCATCCGTGTCTTTGACCAGCAACTGGTGCATAATTATTCCAGCAAGAGTAAGAAATGAACCTGTAGCAATTATGTAAATGAATGTGTTGGCCTCTTAACACCTGTTACTAGTGGACTTCCTGTGAGGAAGTTAGTTTTGTTTTGTTTTAATGAAATGTTTTTGTTTAAATCTTAATTCGCCTTCCCTCCACTCTCTTTAAAGCAAACTTACTTCATTTATTTAATTTAAAAGATCCTTTCTCCTTGTCTGTGAGAGCTGATGGATCTGGCAGGGTGGGGTGGGTGGCTTTTGGCTTTGTGTTGTTTCTTCTTAGGGCATCCATAGGCCTCAAAGGACCTATTCGTTAGGTCATGTTCCTCAGAAAGTCTTCACTCTTCCTTTATTTTTGTTTTGTTTTTCTTAAAAAATATTTTTAAAGCTTAAATTTGTATATTAATTTAGGACTTTATTTAGAAGTATAGGCTGCCATTGGTGGCAGCAGTATATTCTGAAATGTTTCATAGATATCTATTTTTGAATAAAGATGGTGTTGTTGAACAACATTGTGTGTTTCTTTTCCCTACCCCGTGCCAGAAAACATGGTTCTTCTAATAGGTGATCAGTAACCACAGTGGAGAATGTGCTGTCTGCATAGGATCTTGTCCCTTAGGAGTTTCTGTAACTGTTAGTGCCACATCCATACTCCACACTTACAGTATTTTCTGTTCTTTCCGGGGTCTTAATTATTTAATTAGCCTATCCACACAGTCCCCAGGAGCTGTGCCTCCATAGCTTTATCCTCATTGTACCAAAGTAGCAACTGATAGGGAGAGATTCAATGGCTCTTCCTCATACCGCACAGCCAGTCTCTGACAGATTAAAATGTGGACACCCCCCCACCCCAGCGGCTTTTATTCACACCACTAGGCCTCCTGAGAGCTATTTGATTTTGGCAGTACAGTGAAAGCTACTCTGAACAGTAAAAAGAGAAAAATGCAAGATAATTGCAAACTCAAATGGTATATCTTTTAATCACATTTTCATAGGTTTCTTTTCTCCTTTTCCCTTTTATATTCAGTGAAAGCATATTGGTTAAAACTCTCAAAATAATTTTTAAAAAATGGTTTGAAATTAGACCTTTTAAAACAACTGATAGATTTGAAAGGATCATTTTAACCTTTCCACTGAGTAAGTGCAACGTTTGCCAGAAGTGAGGTTACCAGTTAATCTCACCATGCAAAAAAGCATAGCTGCTGTGGTCCACAAGACAAACCAACTCAAATAGAAATCCCAGCATTTGGAAAGTGCATTACCCATGTTTTCTTAAAATGTGAAGGTTGGATGAACTATGTAGATCTCAGGAGATAACGATCTCCTTCTGGTGTCCCCAGGTTTCATGGCCTAGTTAATTTTACTCCTGCCTATAAATAGTAAGTCCATAATTCGTCTGATTTAATTAGCACTTCAGGCTACAGAATGACTCTGAGGTCTTCAGAGCTGAAGATGGAGCTACCAAGAGTTCATGAATCTGTCAGAATGCTTAACTTTTGTGATTAGAGCCATTAACTCTGTGACCTTTCTAGGCTGGGTACTTCCCTCTCGGCCTCAGTTTTCTCACCTAGGAAATGTGCTGGACTAAATTATTTCTAGGCTCCCTGACAGCCCCCAAAGCTTATGATTGTTGTGTTACATATGAAGTCTGGTATTCTGGATGACCTATCCTGGGTTCCCAGTAATATTTCCTAGAGTCCCCACTACACTGCACACTGGTCTTTAAGGATCCAGGCCAAGAGAAGGTGCCAGGACTCACTAGGAAGGTAGAGGAGAGCACAGTAGTTACTGGCTACAAACAGTCTGCTTTTGGTTTGGGATCTTTAAGGAAAAGCCATTTTCTAACCTGGTTTTGCTCTCAACTTTCTTCTAGAATAATTTATCTGGCTAAGCTCATTTCTCACCACCGCCTCTGTGGTGTTTCCCATTTAAAAATCATTCTTCCACTCTCAGGCACAGATTCACTCAAGAATCCATTATTCTCCTGCACAGTAGGTTGGGATTCATACAGCTTTATGTATAGTATTGAAAGCCTGGTTTGTTCAGTTTTTTAGTTATTTTGTTTTAAAAATTCATTCCTACCATGGATTTGATAAACACTACAGTTAGCAATGTGGGTCAATTTAAGTTTTTTTTACGAATAAGAGGCAGCTGCAGGAAGTGATAACTGTCTTCTGATCTCTCATTGTGATGACCTTGGGTGAGTCACACAGCTGCTCAGACCGTCAGTTGCTTTGTAAAGAGAAATGAGTAGGGTTAACTAGGTAGCCCTCGAAGCTCTTTCCAGGTCTTTTCTGTTGCTCAGCTTCCAGAATATTTGTCCTATTGAGCATCTTACCAGTAAACTCAGTATCTCCGTATGTTTTCCATGGATGTTTAAATGGCAGTTATTTGTGTATATTCTTAGTTATGAAATAAAGCAGTTGCAAACATACCTGCTAATAAGTGTGATGTTTATGAAAAGAGTTTAGTACCACATCTGGAAAAATTAAGGGCTCCATGGAGGCTGTCACTATGTTGAATAATGCCTATAACTTCCCTCCACACACAGGGTGAGGAGTTAAAGGAAGATTTGGGGTTGATAATAAGGCTCTTTGAAGAGGGTCAAGTGTGTTTTGAGTTTCCCAGTAGAGGGCAGTGAGTACCACGAGCCCCTTCCCTCAAGGCTAGAGAAAGGGGCCTCCACACAGCTCAGTGTGTGCCCTGCAGCTATCCAGTGGACTAGGTGGTCTCCTGCCTGGAAAAAAATAATCTAAGGATGAGGTGCCAGTGGCTGGCTAAATGGGTGAGGGAGCAGAGGAGATATGGCAGAGGTGGGTATGGCTTTACTGAAGTCTCTCCAGGAATAGAGTGGGTAGAAAGCACTGGGCTGCTCTCAGAACCTGAGCAGGAAGCCAAGGGCCCATCAAGGAGCACTAAGAAGGTGCAGAGAGCACAGCGCCAGGGAGGGTGAGGCCCCTGAGAGACCCCTGGTGATAGGGAAGGAGGAAGGCCCAGGAGCCCACCTGAGAGGGAGTTATTAAACCAAGCCAGAGCCCAGTCACCACAACCCCTCTGTTGAGGACTGCCTTTTGCCCCCACTTTATCCACACAGTGTGCTGTCCCTGCAAGGACGAAAACTCTAGTAAAAACCAAAGCCTCTTCTCACTGCTACTGGGCCTCCACCTGCAGGGGCTCAGAGAGGTCTCCCTTTCACATGGAAGCCATTTTCATTATAGGACCATGTGCAGGTTTACATTTGTACACTGAGACTTGGGTGTTAAGAGTGACAGTGAGAATTTCTGTTTTAATTAAATATTGTCTAGAGAAGTGGTGGAGGCCTGAGTTCTGAGTTTGGGATGCACTAGCCCCATAAACGATTTCAAGAGACACTAGAATGTGAATGGAGTCCCACCGACTTTCTTGATTATTGCAGCAGTTCCACAATATGATTTATTTTAGGACTGTTAATTCTTGGTTCATCATTTCACTATGTAAAAAGTTCATTTGGGGGGCATTAACTTGTCAATGAGTTCATAAATTATCCTGTGTATATGTGAATAAGTTAAAAAAATTTTAAATACACAACAAATTTATGACAAACCCATTTTAAAGTGTACAACTCAGTGGCATTTAGTACATTCATGATGTTGTGCAGCCATCACTACTATCTAGTTCCAAAACATTTTCCTCCCCGTCTAGGGAACCCCATGCATATTAAGTATTCCCTATCATTATCCTCTGTTCCCAGCTCCCGGTGACCCCTAATCCGCTTCTGCCTATGAAATGGCTGGATCGGGATATTTAATATAAATGGTGTGATACAGTATATGACTTGTGTGTGGCATCTTTCACTTAGAGTAATGTTTCGAAGGTTGGTTTATGTTGTAGCATGTATCAGAATTTTGTTCTTTTCTATTGTTGAAATGCCACAGTTTGTTAATCTATCGGCTGAAGGACATTTCGGTTGGTTCTGTCCCTTGGTTATTGTCAGTAGTGCTGCTGTGAATATTTTTACATGAGTTTTGGTTTGAACACCTGATTTCAGTTCTTTGTGGTGTGTACCTAAGAGTGAAATTGCGAGACCACGTGGCAATTCTACCTTGACTGAGTGAGAAGCCACCGAATTTCCTGCCCCTCTTTGCATCTCCACCAGCAAATATACAGTAAGAGAGTTCCAGTTTCTGTAAGGTCATGAAGATTTACATCTGTATTTTCTTTTAAGATTGTACTTTTACTATATAGAGATTAAAAGATTTTTTAAGGGAATTAGTTCATATCATGGAGGCTTGGGAAATCTAAACTCTCCTGGGGTAGTTCCGCAGCTGAGGAGCCAGGGAAGAGCTGTAGCTTTTGTAAAAGGCAGAGTTGTTTGTAGGGGATGCCACGCTCATCTGTGCTGCCACAAATGACAGAACCCAGTAAGGCCTTTAACTGACTAGATGAGACCCATGCTGATTATGGAGGATAACCTGCTTTACTCCATGTCCGCTGATTTAGATTTTAATCTTAGCCAAAAAGCATCTCCACAAAAATACCCAGAGTAACTTTTGACCAAATATCCAGGCAACCTGATCTAGCCATATTGACACACAAAATTAGCCCTCACACTAGCTAACACTTGCTGTTTATTTTTCATTTAAAAAATCATAGGTGTATTAACATAAAGTAGTATTGTGCTCTGGGTGGCATAAAACAATAGAGATTATTGTCTTGCTGTTCTGGTGGCTAGAAATCTTAAACCAAGGTGTTTGTGGGGCTGTGCTTCTACTGGAGCTTGTAGAGGAAGCTGCCCCTTCTAGCTTCTCATAGTCCCAGGCATTTCTTAGTTTGTGGGAATGTAACTTCGATTGCCTCCATCTTTACACATTTTCCCTTTGTGGCTATGTCCAAATTTCCCCCTTATGTGACACTAGTCGTACTGGATCAAGGCCCACCTTAATTCAACTGAATTAAATCTGCAAAGACTATTCACTTTCACCGATTCTTCAATATTGAAGTTGGGGCTTCAATACATATTTTGGGGAGTGGGACATAACTGAATAATGGGAACCCTAGTCTGTATGAAGTGTCTCACATGGTGATTTGAATTTCCCTAATGGCTACTGACGTCAGGTATCTTTTCATGCATTTGTTGGCGACTTCTGAATCTTCTTTGAAGTAATGTCTATTCTGGATATTGTATCCTTATCAGATAGGTAATTTTCAAATACAGTGGGCCCTCAAGTTACAATCGGCCTGATATATGAACAACTGGTTAGTTAGGTTGACAGAAGATTCATTTGCCTCTTGCTATCTATAGTGTATACCTAGGTAAATATCCAGATCTCAGCTGTACTGACCTACAACCCAACTTGAGTCACAGCCAGCCATCTGGAACCGATTGTGTTCATAAGTCAAGACTCCACTGTGTTTTCTCCCACCTGATGGGTTCTCTTTTCTCTCT